CTGTTGTTGTTGTTTTTGCTGTCATGTAATAGTTGCTGTCTGTTGTGTGCAATGGCGATATTGTATGTGGCAGCTGCTGGATAGTTACTGCTGTGCTGGCATGTGTTGCTGCTGCTGCTGCTGCCGCTGCAGATGTTGCAGCATCAGCATTTGTTGTTGTGTTCGCAGCTCCTCCAGTTGTTGTTGCTGCGATGCCTGGGAGCATGGCTTGTGCACCAACTGCTCGTTGCTGATATGCGGAAATCTCTCTGGTATTATTTAATGATGACTTAGCTGCCAGTTTAGCATTTATCGAGTGGCTTTGTGTTGTTTGTTCTTGTTGCTGCTCTTGATTATGACTCGAACTAATGGCTGCTGTTGTTGCTGAATCCACTTGCTTCTGCAACGATAAGCTTACAAGCATACTTTGGGGCGCGGTCGCTTGTTTACTTGTTGTTATCTCTTTTGTTGCACCCGCAATCGATTTTGCTGCTGCCGATCCGGTGAACTTTGCTGACGCAAATTTTGTGCCAACTGTTGTTGTTTCCGTGATTTGTTGCCTCAATAAATTGGCTGCTGTTGCCGCACCACTTCCTGTTGCAACAGTTGCAACTTGCCGCAAAGTTTTTGCCACTACCGACGCGTTGGTTGGCATTGCCAGCGTTTTCGGTCTCTCCAGTCCTGCAAGCGTTGTTCTTCTTTGAGTTGGCGCCTGTGTTGCTTTTGCGTATGCCATGGCGCAGTTGCTTTTGAAACTTCTGAACCATCCTCTCCCTTCCCACTCTGACCGGCTTGCTCAGCACTGGCGCTCAACTGCGCCAATGTTGTCAACATTGTTGCTTCAACATTAAATGTTGCAGTAGTTGTTCGAGCAGTCATTTGGGCGCTTGGCATTACTTGAGCTCGTTTAATTTGCAAGAAACTTGCTGCCATTGGCAATATTTTAGTGCTTATTTTGGATTGCATTGTTGGCGATGTTGTTGTTGTTGTTGCTGTCATGTAATAGTTGCTGTCTGTTGTGTGCAATGGCGATATTGTATGTGGCAGCTGCTGGATAGTTACTGCTGTGCTGGCATGTGTTGCTGCTGCTGCTGCTGCCGCTGCAGATGTTGCAGCATCAGCATTTGTTGTTGTGTTCGCAGCTCCTCCAGTTGTTGTTGCTGCGATGCCTGGGAGCATGGCTTGTGCACCAACTGCTCGTTGCTGATATGCGGAAATCTCTCTGGTATTATTTAATGATGACTTAGCTGCCAGTTTAGCATTTATCGAGTGGCTTTGTGTTGTTTGTTCTTGTTGCTGCTCTTGATTATGACTCGAACTAATGGCTGCTGTTGTTGCTGAATCCACTTGCTTCTGCAACGATAAGCTTACAAGCATACTTTGGGGCGCGGTCGCTTGTTTACTTGTTGTTATCTCTTTTGTTGCACCCGCAATCGATTTTGCTGCTGCCGATCCGGTGAACTTTGCTGACGCAAATTTTGTGCCAACTGTTGTTGTTTCCGTGATTTGTTGCCTCAATAAATTGGCTGCTGTTGCCGCACCACTTCCTGTTGCAACAGTTGCAACTTGCCCCAAAGTTTTTGCCACTACCGACGCGTTGGTTGGCATTGCCAGCGTTTTCGGTCTCTCCAGTCCTGCAAGCGTTGTTCTTCTTTGAGTTGGCGCCTGTGTTGCTTTTGCGTATGCCATGGCAAACGCTGGCCCAGTTGGCCGTGCTGACTTAACTTTTTCGTTTATTCTGCTAATTGTTGTTGCATGCGCTTGAGTGGCGTTTGCCTGGTAATCAAACGTCGCTTCGGCAGCTAACTTTGTAGGTGTTGTTGGTGTGATTGTTGTTGTTGCTGTAGTTTCTGCTTGTGGACTCGCTGCCATCTCAGCCGTAAAATTCTTTTGATTAAACTTGAAAAGCTTCGTCTCAACTTGCATTCCGTTCGCTTGTGTCTCTCTCCTTGCCCCACCATCTTCATCTATCGCTTCTGTGCCAGTCATATTTTCTCTATTTCTATCTGGTTGTTGCAAGTTCGGCAGCGTTGGCATTTTCGCGTTTGATTTTTCGCTTTGCGTTTGTAAACCGTTTGGCAAATTGAAAGTTGCCTCGCTCGTCTCGACGCTGCTGCCTGCTGACACAACTTCGGTGCGTTCTGCTGGTTCGCCACTGCCGATTTCAAATTCTGTGGCGCACATAGGTGTGGGCGTGTGTGCATTCTCTGCTTGCCACCACCCATCAGCCGTTTGTTTTTGTGCACCGCAATTACTCTTAAACTTTTCGAAAAAATTGTGCATCCGCACAAACTTCTGTTTCAGTTCGATTTTTGTTGCTTCTTCCGATGAAAGCTGCTGCTCTGCCGCCTCGCCATCTACGAGCGTTTCAACGTCCTCCGTACGCTGCTGACCCAGTTTATCTGCAGTTGCACTCAATGCAATTAATTGTCCGCCCGCACTCTTGCCAGAGCCAAACCGATTATGACCGCCCTTCTGCTGCTGCTGCTGCTGCTGTTCATTTTTTCCCAAATCGTCTATAATACTGTTACCCTCAAAATTAAAGCTCTCCAGTTCGGTTTTGTTTAGTCCGCCATCGCCATTGTTACTGCCGCTACGCTCTACAATCCTACATGGACTGGCCCACTCGGCGATGCTCAGCAAATCGCTGCACTTAATTGGATTCTCATCGAGCAGCAGGTCACGCAAACGTGGCAACGTATGCACCATGGCTTGGCTTACGCCCCGCAGGCCGGCCGCGCGTAAATTGAGTGTCAGCAATTTGGGCAACGGCAGCGCTGGCAAGTACAAGAGTTTATTGCCCGAGAGATCGAGCGTTTGTAGATTGTTGAGTCCAGTAAAGGATTGCGGTTGTATGTCCATGATTTCGTTATGCTGCAGGAATAGATGCTCCAATGAGGTGGGCAAACTGATGGGCACTTTAGCCAACTGATTATGGTCAAGGAAGAGCGTCTCTAATATCTCTAGTCGGCCGAGTGCATCGTCTTCAATGTTTTCGATGCGACTGTGTGAAAGGTCGAGGTACTGCAGTAGTGGGTAGCTATCCAAGTCGCCGCTGTTGATAATCTGTAATGAGCGACAAATAGGAAAAGGAGAATTAGGTATGAAAAAACTAGTAAGTAGAAAGAGAGAAATTAATTGCATTAAAAATGTAGAAAGGGGAAAAGCAATTAACGGAAGCTCTTACTAAGCAGCCTGCGAAAATAGGAAGTCGAATGTACGTTTAACTGCTTTGATGCAAAGAAGACAATGAACTTTTGTTACATATCTGTGGGNTTTCGATGCGACTATGTGAAAGGTCGAGGTACTGCAGTAGTGGGTAGCTATCCAAGTCGCCGCTGTTGATAATCTGCAATGAGCGACAAATAGGGAAAGGGGAATTAGGTATGAAAAAACTAAAAGTAGAAAGAGAGAAATTAATTGCATTAAAAATGTAGAAAGGGGAAAAGCAATTAACGGAAGCTCTTACTAAGGAGCCTGCAAAAATAGGAAGTCGAATGTACGTTAAACTGCTTTGATGCAAAGAAGACAATGAACTTTTGTTACATATCTGTGGGCATTTAAAAAAAAATAAAAAATTATGTGCAGTTTTACTTTTTTCTATCGAAAACCCCGTCATACTATTTAAATAAATTTGCGAGCCCTTTTTTCTTGAGTGGAGTCTGAAAACACTAAAATGTGATATTTTTAATAATTTTTTGTCTTATCTATAAAGTTTAGCTTAATCGTTTTCGCAAACGCTTTACCGTCGTCTTTATTACACTGCGCTCCGCCGAAAACCATTTCAGTTGTCTGGAAGTCTTTTGAAAAGTTTTTCAAATTTCCATTCCTTTCAACCAAATCTGATAGTAAATATACATTTCAATACCTCACGAGATCCATTTATTCAAAGAATTTATCCGGACAGGGTGGGGTGCTCCTTATAGATTTTATAGTCCCGCTATTGCCATTATTAAATATTGCTAAACTTAAAATAAAAAGTTCACAACAATTGATATCAAGCACCGAACGTTTTGTTTTCCGGTAAAATTAATTTTACTGTCAATTACTTTATTACTATTTTAGGTTGTTTTTTAAATTTTAATTAAATCAGTTTTATTTTTTACTTTTGTTGTTTACGTTGTAATAAAAGCGGGTTTTGTAGTTTTTTAATCTATAATTTTATTTCTAAGACTATTGTGTTAGAACANTTTGATATCAAGCACCGAACGTTTTGTTTTCCGGTAAAATTAATTTTACTGTCAATTACTTTATTACTATTTTAGGTTGTTTTTAAAATTTTAATTAAATCAGTTTTATTTTTTACTTTTGTTGTTTACGTTGTAATAAAAGCGGGTTTTGTAGTTTTTTAATCTATAATTTTATTTCTAAGACTATTGTGTTAGAACAACAAACATTTGCCTTACGAAAACCCTTTTAATATGTTAGCCAGAATTGCAATTAGTCAGCGTTTATACATGATGAAGGCAGATTTTTGGGTTGTTGGTTATCTGCTGCAGAAAATTATTCGTTGTCAGGTTCTATAGAAATGGGCAGCTTTCGGTGTACATCTTGACGCTAACTCTGCTCTTTTGCCACTACGAAGGCTGCTTAATTCTGCCGGCGGCCTTGCAATTCGTACTTATAGTAGGAAATTGATAATTGCCTTCGGAGAAACCTTGTTGAAGCAAGTTCTAAAAAGCCTATTCAATGTTAGTCAACATTTGATGGAGTGCAGTATCCGCAGATTAGTTTGAGTAGGCGTGTGCTGGCATCCTAAAAGCTTTCTTGGACTAAATTTTTCCCTGATGTACGAGTCATATAGACTTTCCAAAAGTTTTTAGAAAGAAATAAGAGAAGCTTATAGGTCGAAAATTGCTTCGTTTCATTTCGAGGAGACTGGCGTACGAATACCACTTTCGTTTTGGTCCATAAATTTGTACTTATAGTCACATTTTCCCCAGACATTCTGTAGCTGATGTACAATTTTTTCTTTGCGAAAGAACTTTAATTTAATTGCTACGAATTGGAATAAACAAGTAACCACCAAATGTTTATTTTAATAGGTACGTCTACGAGAATTAAAGCTATGCCATTTAATGTCATTGTGAAGTACTTTTAATACTTGTGCTAGCGTGTAAATATTCAAAATAAAATTCATATATTTCGTCGCTTGGCGTACAATACCTCGTATCCGCCAAATGCAATACCACGTATGAGGTGGTATAGAAAAACATTTATTTTGGTTACCCTGTCTTAATGCTTCCTTACTTCACAAATTTAATAGTCGTATCAACCGATACTTCCCATACACCAAACAAAAGGAGAAAATTCGGATTTTTGATTAAAGAACACCAAAATCATTCGAGCGGTTGTCGAAATATTTGGTAATAAATAAAATTTGCTAAATTTTTCAAAAATTTCTTGCCCTAAAATGCTCGATATTTGTTGAATTTATATAAAATTTGTACACGATAATATTTCTATTGCTCCAAAGGACTTATATCCCGAAAATGGAAGTTGTATCTGCAAATCATAAGTTGCTAGGGCACTTTAAAGGCTCAAAATTGGCACGAAAATAAGCCAATATTTACCGTTGTTTCTACGACAGAGACCGAACTGGATACTTCCACAGATAAATCCGTTGATAGGTTTGGAATATTATCTTTGAAACGTCACACTTTCCATTGAAATCGCTTCATTGCTTCTCGTGCAGTAAGGGTTTTCGTTAAGCTCTGAAAATTACAACTACAACATTTGAGTATAGCCTCCATATCGAAACGTAAGACGTATTTTACGTCGAAATAGAAACTTACTTGTAAAAAGGCCTTCTTTAATATAGAAATAATTTTAAAAAGTTACATCCAAACATACTATAATTAATACAGAGCTAGCGCGTATGACTGATTGAGGTGCTGTGCGCACGATATGCATTCGGCAAGTTTTTTGTATTTTATAGGGCTTGGTAAAATTTAAAACTAAAGTTCTCCAAAATTACAATAGTGAAAATTTCGAGAATCAGTTAAATTCGCTTTAATCATTTACTAGAGCAATTTTTTCCCGGCCAGACTATTCGGAATAAATTGTACTGTAGATAAAACAGCTGCCATTTGATTTCATTCGATTTGAAGGGAGTAGGGGAATATGAGTCGTCCGAATCCTGATCAGGATTATACTTTTAATTTGGGAAAAATAAAGCTGTAATCCTGTCGTAATTGTGGTAGATTTTCTATTAAATCTTTAAACAATTTTTTTTTCAATATTTAATCAAAGCTCTTAATCGAATGTGCTACTTCTAAACACCGCAATTGCTAGGACATCATAAACACCCAAGCAAATTTATCACCCATTCAACATAACCGATTTTTAATTTATGTATAATTTGCTCTAAGCACAAAAAGAAACACTCTTCTCAAACTTAAATTAATTCTGCACAAATCGTAATCACGCCAGCTAAGCCCGCCAATATTCTTTNAAAATAAAAACTTACTAGTAAAAAGTCGTTCTTTAATATAGAAATAATTTTAAAAAGTTACATCCACACATACTATAATTAATACGTATAAGTGATTGAGGTGCCTGTGCGCACGAATGCATTCGGCCAGTTGCGGGTACTCTAGTAACAGAATGCAAAACGTTGCTTCATAACTATTACTGTACCTTAGTTAGTCAAACATTAGAGAACGTTAATACGTATTTTCATAGATATTAAAGATCATCGCAATTTTCGATTTTTGTCCAGCTGAATCGTCACTTTTGCCTTATGTGCGACGATTTGCTCATGCTATTAACAGTAATTTGTATTTTATAGGGCTTGGTAAAATTTAAAACTAAAGTTCTCCAAAATTACAATAGTGAAAATTTCGAGAATCAGTTAAATTCGCGTTAATCATTTACTAGAGCAATTTTTTCCCGGCCAGACTATTCGGAATAAATTGTACTGTAGATAAAACAGCTGCCATTTGATTTCATTCGATTTGAAGGGAGTAGGGGAATATGAGTCGTCCGAATCCTGATCAGGATTATACTTTTAATTTGGGAAAAATAAAGCTGTAATCCTGTCGTAATTGTGGTAGATTTTCTATTAAATCTTTAAACAATTTTTTTTTCAATATTTAATCAAAGCTCTTAATCGAATGTGCTACTTCTAAACACCGCAATTGCTAGGACATCATAAACACCCAAGCAAATTTATCACCCATTCAACATAACCGATTTTTAATTTATGTATAATTTGCTCTAAGCACAAAAAGAAACACTCTTCTCAAACTTAAATTAATTCTGCACAAATCGTAATCACGCCAGCTAAGCCCGCCAATATTCTTTAACCCATTCACTGGGGGTAACTGTTTTCAAAATAACACTTAAGCCGCCTTTGCGCCATGCCACAAAGTGTAAAGTTGCCACAACAGCAGAAAAGCTGCTAACAAGCCTGAAATAACAAGAACAGCAGCAACAAAAGATAGCAAAACAAAGCTAACGGCTTGCAGCGGCAGGCGAGTGAGTGGGAGAATGTAAATGGAAAAATATTTTCACCCGGTTACCACTTCAATGCCTACTAAGCGAATAAGCAAATGAGCGTACGAGCCTAGCACCATAGGCGCAGATAATAAGGTTGCCACGCTGGCTGGAAGGCATTTATAATTCCGAATAATTGGAATAAGGATAATAACGATAAAGCTAAAGCGTAAGCAAACAAACCAGGCATTGGGAGGCAAACATACAAATGCATCCAAGCAGCTATTGAAATGTAGGCATGTGTTGACATTAGGGTGTCTCGTGCACCTTATACGAAAAAAGTCATAATGACTCACGCCAGAATATTTAGCTCAGTTCTTTGGAAAATGATTTTGACTTATGAGCTCTTTATAAATCATTAGTTCATAGCATACATTTCTCCAAGATGAGCTAAGTTTTTATTTGAATTGCCAAGTTTTAGACTGGAAACGAAACACTGTTCAAGCCTAGGAAGAAATGAAGGCTGCTTATCTAAAACTTTACCTGCTTTACAGAAAATATTCGCATTTGAATGGTACATCGGTACCCGCAGAATGTCTTTTTTTTTAAAGCTATGGTCATAGCTTCGG